TGACGAAACACCAAGACCCAGAAGGAGTTGAGACCTCAAGGCTGTGGCTTGGCGTGAAAAACCTGGAGAGCATTTCTAGTCTCTGAGCCCAGAAGTGGAGACGGACCGTGGCCCTTGGTAATTTCAATTTCTACAGACAGACGTTGGCAAAGTCCACGCGGACTTGCAGGGGAACAGCATACGGCTCCCACTGGGTGGTGAGAGTGCCTCAATAGCCCCTTGAAATAACTGGGCTTGAAGCTATCGGAGACATGAATCATTCCAGGAAATCCAAGACGCTGATAGAGAGGCTGCCAGCGCCACAGGTTTTTCTCTCCCCCGCCCCCCACCCGGTGGAAAATATTATGGTGGTGACCTAAAAACTCACAGAAGTGTCTTGATCAGCTGCCCTAAAGGCAGAGATTTCAAGCACAGAACTGTTCAGCTGCATGAAAAATACTCATTGCATGATGTGAGCAACCCAAAAAATGGCTCTAAAGAGACAGGATTTGCATTTCTGAATCAGACAGCTCAGTCCCTCTCAAGCTGGCTGTGTTGTTTCCAGCCACGGCTCATACCTGGTGACCCAAAGAAAGTCAGAATTCAAGCAAGCCAAAGCTTTCAAACTGGCTACCTACAATTAGGCTCTTAAAACTTCACCTATGTACATAAATGAATTGACTTCAAAGGTGCTGAGTGCCCTCATCTTCTGAAATCCCTGGTATCACGCACGCTGCTTTTTGGCACTTTGGCAAATCAGGTCATAACAGCATGGCTCTAAGTGGCTGGATCCAGCAATTATAAAAGCCTATCACTTACTCAAGTGTCAAGGAATTTTCCGGGTTGATGTGCATGCCTAACAGCTGTGGCTTGATACACAGAGCATCGCCGCATCCCACTGACTTCAATCAGAGCTGCGAGTGCTATCAAAAAATCAGTCCACTTATTTAGCTGCCTCGCTATGGATTTATGCACATAACTTGACACACCGAGTCTATGAATATTGACCCCTCGTCGATTCTGCACCACTCAATAAGAAATGCGTGTGACGGCTCCTGTAGCAATCGGTATCCTCCTGCTTCACTGAGATTTATATTAGCATGTGGGACTGAGCACAGATCACAGCAAGGTCTAAAACCTCTGTAGCCTGCAAATACTTCTTTCAAGCAATACCTCGGGGAAGTTGCAGTTGGGCAGGGAGCCGTTACAAAATCCCTGCAAGGTGCCTAGGCTGAAGTTGAAAGATGAGTTGCTGATGAGGCAGACGTTCACGTGGTTTGGTGTGACATTGTACTCGGTGGCCACACAGCTGATGAGATCCACGGTGTTGCACGTGAACTGGGAAAACATAACAGTTGCATTTATGTATGTGTGTGGTGGGGAGGACAAAGGCACAGATAGGGAAAAAAAGCAACCTGCAAAAATTGAAAAGCCCCTCGAAGGATGGTGTGGAGGGTTATACAACGCGCGACACAAAAATTACCGGGATATATTCCGTGCCCTAGTTTTCATAATAAAGCTGCTTATCCATGCAGTTACTGTTGTATTTACACTTGGTAGCAATTACTGCATTGAAAAAAAGGGATGCGCTGATGGTCTCTCCTTGCTAATAACCTCACAAAGGCTACTGCAGGAGTCTCTTCCATGGGAAAGGCTTTTACACAAAGGCTCAAAGGCCCTAGCTGCTGACTTGCCACAAAGCAAGAAACCAGCAGATTTCCACCCAGCCTTCTCTGTGACTGGCCTGATTAAGATTTGAGTTTGTACCAGTCCGTGGCTAATTCATTGTTAGAACAGCTAGCAATGGCAAGAGGGCCAGGCACTCCAGGTGGTGATGCACACTGCCTGGGACTAAGGGTCTACATCTGTGAAGTGGGGATTACCCACAATCCCACACAAGTTCATCATTATGGTACAGGCACCTAATCCCACACCCATAGCTCAGCCTCTTGCAAAAACAGGCCCCCAAACTAACCATAACAGTGCTCTTCTCCAGCCGAAGTGACCATGTTTATCTCCCTCTGTCAGATGGGGAAACAGAGGCACAGCAATATGTGCAGGCACATTTCTCAGAAGTGCTGAGGACTCAGCATTTTCACTGAGCTTGGGGAGAGCTGGTGTGACTTGGCACTTTTTAACGGCACACCAAGGCTGTGGGGGGCTGCGCGAGTGTGAACAACACAACTTAAATCCAGCTCCCAGCCCAGAGCTTCAAAGCAGAACCAGCGTTTCTCTCCAAAACCCCTGAGATGGGGGCAAAATATTGAGTTACACTTTAAAAACAAATGTAGTCAGCAAACTAAGAAACACAAGTACTAGACGATTAAGAACATTCACTTCGTTCTTTGACACTGAAATTAGCACAAGTCTGTATTCCTGGGATGCAAAAAAGCCCAAATGTGTCACTTAAAGCAAAATCTTTCCAATCTCTTAAGTGATTATTACACTCAGCATGAAGCTCAACGCTGTGCAGAAGGCCAGCGCAAAGCCTACACAACACTTCAGTCTCACTCAAAATAGGGACGTAGTGGGAGTTAAAGTGATGCATAAGCCTTGTGCTAGCCCTTTGTGCTGGGGTAGATGTCACTCGCAGGGGAACAGGCTGGTAGCGCAGGCGCACGAAGACCTGACCGGGAAGGAAAGTGAACATGCACAGAAGCAAAACCAGAGCTGGCCAGGCAGGACGCCAGGGAGGTGTCTGGATAGCTCCAGTTTCACTACGATCATGGACCAGCAGGAAGTGTCGTCTTCCCACTGTCACACGGGACGCTGGCATACGTGACTGCGAGGTTAATTGTTTGGTCATGGATGCAGCACGCCAGCCGGGCAGGATCAATAATGAAGGCAACACGGGGGGAAAAGAGTAAAGAGGTGAGGGAAACAAAAATCCACGTACCATGTTGACGAACGCTGACAGAAATACCAAAATAATGGCACAGACCCCGACTAAGGTGCTGTTGGTCCTGGACTGAACAATCTTCCTTGAGAGAGTCTGGAGTGGAGCTGGGAACAGCTGGATGTGAGATAAAGAGTACGTCAGGTCGCAGTGAAACCTCATGTCCCCCTATCAAAGGGGCAACGCTGGCTTAGGATCAAAGACCTGTCTTTTACCCTGTGTTTTTTGGAAGAAGGAAGTATTCATTAACATGACTGCACTGTGGCAGCCTGGCCCGTGGACTTGTCAAATCTGGCTGAAAACAAGTTTGTCCAAGCCAGAAAAACGTGGCTATCCTGTCTGGGTAGATGAGGAGTTAACCGAGAGCTAACACAGGCAGCTCACAGCTTCTAGCTCCTGAAAAAAAAAGGCTGGGGGTGCAAAGTCCCTGGTATCCCAGGACAGGGTGCAGACCCCACAGACACTTTGGAAAGGTAAACTGTGCCTTTAGATCACAGGATCTTCTCTCCTCACTTGCTTTCCAGCTCTCTTCTCACAATTAAGCTACTGGATCATCTTCTTTATACAATTAACCACTTGACTACTACCAGGGCACCGTCAGCATGGGTGGCTCCCCAAGTGTTGCATGGTATTTAGATTGGAAAGATTTACAGTGAATGTCTCCCTTGAGCAGACTTCCCCTGGCCACCCATCTTCCAGAAAAGCAACATTGCCAGAGGCCTCCCTGCAGCATGAAGCACCGTCTGTGCTGCTAGGCCAGTCCTACAGGGTTAGGATAATTTGCTGTTTATTAAACCATTTGTTTCCCCAGTTGTCTATGTGCCCATTTCTACCTCTATTTGTTCACCACCCCATGGCACGAAGCTCACAGCAGCAGAGGAGACAAGAGACTCCTCTTGAACTCAGATGTTAGGAGAGGCCTAAGAATTATCCACCTTCCCCACGGACTGAAAAGCATCGTTTCTGCAACGCTCCCAACCATCAGCACTTCAGGGCTAAACAAAAAGGCTGCTGATCTAGCTCCAAACCCTTCTCTGCATCAGCACGCTGCACTACCAGCCAAGCCACTAGAGACGGTAGGAATCCACCAGCACAGTGATCCTGCACTGCAATGCAACTGTGCACGGAGCATCCTTTGCAACTCCTGCTTCTCCCTTTTATCCTTCATCCTTGCATCTTCAGAGGTGCAACGTTTTGCTGGCGACCTGCTTCCCCTTACAGCAGTCCCACCACGTATTTATAAAATCGTTTGAACGGTGGGAACATGGATTAGCTGGGGACTTTTACTGAGAGAGGAGAGGGCATCTGCAATGGTGCTGTGCTTTTTGAAAGAGGTTATTCCATCTGCTTCCAGCACACAACTATTTAACCTACCTCCCAGCAGGGAAAGGAGTGCTGCCCACGTATGAAGGGAAGACGGGTCAGAAGGGCACAGGGTCCTGCCAAATTCTCACTGAACAGACGCACGCACTGAATGACCCACCGCCTCTGCTACAAGGTCCTACGACATCCACAACTCCAGCGGGTAATTTCATTTCTTTATTTACAAGATTGCTTTGCAGAAATGACATGGCCCTGTTAATACGGCAGTTCTAGGCACTGCAGACAATTCAGAGCCAAGGTCCCAAGGTCAAGCTGGTAGAGACTCATGTTCAACTCTAGAGCAATATGGTTCAGTCTGTGGTTTGCTGGCCAAGATGGTGTCTATCACATCTTTTTTTTTCTGGTTTGGTATTGCATATCCATATCCCACAACTCAATTCCTCAGCTTTTGAACTGGATGGAAACTCCATCAGTTTGCAGATTTCTAACTAATCTGCAACTGAAGCTTCTGCTATAGCAGAACCTATGATATCTGAACTGAAACATCAGGCCCTGCGACCTCAGTTCGGTGCAAGATTGGAGAGATGGGCTGAAGCGCTGAATTCATTTTCAACCCAGGTGCTTTTGGAGGCAGGGTCTCTGGAGGAAGATGACAACAGGGCATGAAAAACCCCTCCACTTGGACCCACGAGGTTCCTGGACTTGTGGATACAGCGTGCATCAACATCACTTGGAGTTGGGCGTGTGGAGCAATACAGCCTTTAAACTCTAGTGGCTAGAAGAACACCAAAAACATCTACACTGAATTAAGATTTATGGCATCATTATATGCTCTACGCCCTGGTGAACATCCATGGGCCTTAAGGTGGCTACTCCTGATTTATACTTAAGTAGGATGAGAAAAGAACCAGAAACCAAGAATTTTGCTCTAGCATCTAGAAGTCTAATGAGCGTGCTTTTTTGAATTAAATTGTGTTTCAATATTCAGTCCGAATCATCAGTGGAGTTTTTAAGAAGCTAAACTGGAAAGAAGCAGCCATA